ATTTAATTTATTTAATTTATTTAATTTTTTTAATTTTTTAAATAGCCAAATCCACAAACAAAAAGAAATATATTAATTTCTAAATATATTTAATTTACAATTTAAAAAATTAAAAAATTAAATTAAATAAATAATAATAATAAATCAAAATCTATGTATTTTTTTACTTTACATTTTTAATTTACAAAAGCCTTTTGTAAATTAAAAATAAAAAAACTATATATAATAGAGTGACTCAGTGGCAGCCGGCTATTTAAAAAATTAAATAAATTAAAAAAAATAAATAGAATTTAAAAAATAAATCGAAATCGATTTATTTTTTAATTTACAAATGCCTTTTGTAAATTAAAAAAATAAATAAAGTTAAAAAAAATAAATCAAAATCTATTCAATTTTTAGTTTACAAAAGCCTTTTGTAAATTTAAATTTTAAAAAAAAATCAAAATCTATTTTTTTTATTTACAAAAGCCTTTTGTAAATTAAAGAAAAAATAAATAAATTAAAAAAATATATACACGTCGATTTAATTTATTTAATTTATTTAATTTTTTAAATAGCCAAATCCACAAACAAAAAGAAATATTTTAACTTTTAAATATATTTAAGTTACAATTTGAAAAATTGAATAAATTAAATAAATCTTTCAAAAAAAATAAATAAAACATCAAAATCTATCAATTTTTAATTTACAAATGCTTTTTGCAATAAATATTTGAATTGAAAATTAAATCATTTGTGTTTGTTTCTTTTTACGAAATGATACCTAAAGGACCCTCGATCATATATATATATATGATTTTATAAGTATATAATAGTATGTATATAGGGATTCAGAAGTACAAGGTCCATGAGCAAACCCAACCAACACTTGCACAGGTGCAGTTGTTGTTGTTGCTGCTGCTGACATTGAAGTGGGTGTTGTCGCTGTTGTTGATGTCATTGTAATTGTGGTGGTTGCGGCCGTTGTAGTTGCTGCCGGTGTTGCTGGTTCAACTGGCTAGGTTCCCAAACACAATGCCCTCAAACTCAACAATATGTATACAACGTACGCATCTCTTCTACCAACGTACCAAAGCACCTCGGAGTGATTCATAGATATTGATATTGTTCTGAAAAGCACACCGGAGTATGTGCAGCTTTTTGGACCCAAGACGCATGACAGTCCTAGGCTTGTCCCCAAAGCACATATATGAAGGGAATGTCATTGGCTTGGTGCTCCGAGAAGCTCCAAACCAAAGTATGTAGAACTACAGCCTAAAGATTGCTTAGAAAACAGCAGTCTTGCTGGATGTCTTCCATCTGAACATATATATATATATTTAGTATATCTAAAATAAGGTGACCTGACGCCCTCCTGTGCCATTGCTGCTGGAGCACCTCTGATTTATGACTCACCTCGCGCCTCCAGTCTCACTGAGGATCCCCAACGGAGTGGCTGGATGGCATGCCGCAACTCGTGCAACACGACTCTTCCGGTCGCGGATGTCCTCCGCAAACGGTCGCGGATCGCGTAGCGCGAGGATCGGTCGAGGGTGTGGAGACTGGGCTGTGTAGGGCACGACTGAATGAGGGAGGGTGAGACTTGTCGATGTCGAGAAACGAAAAGATGTTGCAAGACCAACCGTAGGGCGGGCAGTAGGGTACTCAAACTGTCAGACTAGTGGATGTATACACACACATTGTCTCTTCAAACACGCCCAACCTTTTCTGCTGCAGTGGTTTGTCTGTTGCTATGCTTGGATGCACACAGTCCTGCCATCGAGCACTAGGTGAATTGTTGGGATCATCCGGTTTACTTCGTCGTGGGATCCGAATGTCCAGCGCCAGCACTGGATCTCGTGCATGACGCGGGGGATTCGACAGAGAATGTTAGACGAAGGCGCAGCTTTTGACGTAATGCGTGAGGGGTCCAGTTGAACATGACTCAATTAGAGACGAGTGACGAGAGCCGTGAAACACGGCGGTTTCGGCAGCTTCATAACGTTCCAAGGTCAGATCCGGATGAGCCAAGGTCCAAGTGTCCTGAACTGAGACGACTTGGCTCATCCACGATATCTCGATCCAAGAAGTTCTCGTAACCAACCGAGTTGATTGAGTGTTATCCAAACCCGGTTGTTCGTGACTCGGTCACCATCCACCGATGTCATAACTCATATAACGATGCAATTCCTTACCACATGTTGCATAATGTTCAGTACCAGCCTCTCAGTTGACCCCAATGATCTCTAAGGGCCTTGCATACGAATCCAACTGTAGCAACACTGCAGCAGCCGCTGGATCAAGATCTGTGACACAGTCTGTGATGACTGATGCAAATACCAGATCAAAGGGTTTTGCTCCTGCTTGAGAGGTCTGCAGAAAACCGAGATCCATCCGACATCATCCGACCATCCCGTTCCGGGCTCTGGGGACCAAGAGTTTCTCTGGCAGCGAACGCGGGTTTCGCCGGACCCGTCAAGCACCGCCGCAGCGAGTCTCACCCAATTGAGGAGTTGGGATTTCTACCTGCAAGTCGGATGCCCACGCACCACCTTTCTTCGTGGCAAAAGGACTTCTATACAGGGTTGTATATATTCTGTCTTCTCTCTCAACGGAAACGTCCAGTTGGCCCAGCGGCCGACGCAAACCGCCCTTTCGCTCTAACGGCGGGCGGTGGTCGCCCCTGTGGGCTGCGGTCGACATGTGCCGGGTCATAGGCAGCAACCAAAACGGTGCCTGGTTCTCGTAGCAAGGTAGCCCAAACGTCATGAGCGCCATGATGAGGTAAATCTGGATGATGTGCAGAATGGCTCTGTGCACTCTGGCACAGTCTCGACTAGTTTGGAGCACTTGGTACAAGTAGTTCTTGATGAGGATGATGTTCACTACATTTGCCCACACCTATCTTTAAGTTCATTGCATACTAGCCTAGTGCCCCTAGAGTACAAGTCCAGAAGCCACTCTATGACAACATCAAGTAGAGTCGCATGTAGCAACGCATGAGACGATTTTGAGAGATTCGATCCTTCTTCTTCCAGTCGAGTGGCACCATCACCCCAAATCCCACTGGGCGCCGTGCGAAAGACCTGCTTTAAAATGAGCTCGTTCAGCACAAAAGTAAAGATCTGCCGCCGGCACTCGATGGGTTCCATGAGTTCTAGTTGATTTCGCAACCCAAGATGGGTGAACTGATGAATCTGGGGAACGTTCAGAACCCAGCCGCCCTAAACTCAGCACAAACACCGGACCAGCCCAGCGGCGCGGCTTTGGCGCGGAAGGAACGAGAGAGTGATGGAGGAACGAGACTTCAGTGAAACACCGAAGAAGTCACGTCGGCTGGCCCGATGGGACGAGAAAGTCATGGTAACTCTTCTAGTCCCGGGCTAGGATTAGTCAGTGACGGTATAGTATGGTATAGTCACTGTTCATACATGGTTCCTATGGGACTAGAACAGTTACATACATTGATCCCACCATATATATATATACATACATATATCCCATCTCTGACCCATCCATAGTGGCATGACTCTTCTAGTCCCATTCGTCTGGTCTGCGAATGTTTGTTTGACTTCCAGTTCAGGTCCCAAACACTCCATGGAACTGGCAAAAAAAACAACCTGCAGTTGGGGGTGATTGAAACGTGTTGAAACGGGATGAAAAGGGGTCAATATAGGTGAATATTCCATACCAATGGTCCGGGATGAGCCTTTTGCCCCTCAAAAAGTGTGGCTTGTGGACCTGGTACAGAGGGGTCGTAGAGGGTGGGGTGGTACTCTTTTCTCAGTTTCTCGGAACATCTCATTAAACCTCTCCAATTCCTCACCTTCCATAGTAATCAGATTTGAGATTCAAGGACAACACTGTAACGCATTTGGTGGGGAGCATGTTGATCGCATGTAGGGCCGGGCAGTCACTTGCGCACTGGGAATTTCGGTCACTTGCGCACTTTGGGTCACTTGCGCACTTGGCATCAAAAATTTAGGTCACTGGCGCACTTACCTGCTTCCTAGCAACGGGTGGTGCCTACTCCACAATGAACTAGTGAATGGGTTGGGGTGGGGGGGGGTTGCAGTTGCCAACCATACAAAGGGACTCTGAACTGCTGAAAAGGTTGCCAAGTTGGACAAGGTCAACATCTTTACACACACACACACGCACTCACGTTTTGATTGCCTTTCAAAGCATACTTCTGCCATACAAACTCACTTGCGCGCGCAAACTATAATGAGTGGGTTGGGGTGGGGGGTGGGGTGGGGGGGGGTTGCAGTTGCCAACCATATAAAGTGACTCAGAAGTGCTGAAAAAGTTGCCAAGTTGGACAGGGTCAACCGACCAACCTAAAGCATTTGGTGACGACATGTTCGGACAGTGCTCAAATGCCAAGTGTACAAGCGACCATAATTTCAAGTGCACAAGCGACCCAAATTTCAAGTGTACAAGCGACAGCTCGCCCGCATGTAGGGCCAACAAGTTCCATTTCCATGCATCCTGCGCCCAAAATCGGGAGACCCAACAATCCAGGGGCCCCAGTCACACTCTCGCTTCCTTCGGCAGTCCCGCCCCGTAGTAGAACGCCCCGTCCTTCTTAGAAAGTACCATTCCGCCTCCTTCCCCTATCTTTGTTACAACAAAATCCATCAAACAAACCACCGGACGTCCTCGCTTCCACCACTCCCTCACCGGACGCGCCAGCACCGAGGCGATGCAAAGCTCCCGACTGCCGCGCACCACCTGAGCATCGAGTTCGAGTCGGAAGGAGAACCAGTATGGCTGCAGTCAGTGTGTGGTGAACCAGGTTGTTCAACGGGTCTTTTACGATCTTTTATGGTGTTTTTCGGTGGAGAACACTTGGTAGATCTGGATTTCTGCGGGTCAGCCTCAAGATGTCTCAAGCAAGCCCGCGTATATCAAAGATGTGCAAAATGGTATACACACAGTAAGTCTGAATATCCATGAGATGATTCGGTACCCAACAATCCATATATGGAATACTTGTAAGACCCTTTTTCAATCCTTTTCAACCACCCCAACGGTCGGTAAATCATGCCAGTCTCATTTGCTATTGCCTGGGTGTGGCTGGGCTGCCCGGCGATCAAGCGTAGCATGTGCACCACCAAGACGGTTAAAGGAACCTGTTTCAGGGCTGCAGGGTTGTTGAGAGGACCATTGGAACCATTTCTATCCGATGACAAGTTTGCTAGACGACAAAAACAACCTGGAAAAACTGTTCGGCTGATTGAAAAAAACTGTCTATATCGCAATATCACATGATTGAACACAGAAACCGTGTCACTGTATGGTGCAATGTCAATTTTGAGAAAAAGAAACGCATTCGCAAAGTTTGGGCAATACAAGATGGGGGAAAGGATGGGAGGATGGGAGGATTTTGACCTCCCCTCTTAGGGTCGAAAGGGTGGCCGGAACTTTCTTTGTCCAACGAATTCCAACGATCACGACGGATGAGGGAGTGATTCCCTAATCAGTGTTGTGATTCCTTCATCAGCTCAAGAGGGATGTCCATTCAATTCCCTGATCAGCTCAAAAGTAAGGCGAAATCGAAATCCAAATGCAAGCAAGGAACGTAGCTGTACAAAACCTCAGATCGAAGGAGGAATGTTTGTTTGCTTGAATCAGGCCTAATCATCAAAGTCTCAGTTGCAAGACAGTTGGTGCTGTCTTTTGACTAGATGTCACCCAAAAATAAAGGCCAAATATGGCAAGATCGTGTTTTAATGCTGGAGGTCTCCTGCCGAGGGTTCCAAAAGTATGTACGCATAATATATAAGTAGTATGTTCGTATTGTCTATAAATGCAAGTTCTACCGTGGAAAAAGGAAGAGGGCCAAGGACAATTGTGTATGCTATTGGCGATGTTGAACCATGTCTATTCAACCGGGTAGAGTGTAAAGGGGAATAGCCAGGCGGCTGCAGGTGTTGGTTTTTGGCCAATGCTGCCGTCAATGCTGCCAATGTACATACGACAGCGTGGCCATGACAGGACTGCTGCAAAACGGCAGCACCAACCTTGTAGGGGACCCAGAAGCCATGGGCCACAGGGCTTCATTAAACGCAACACGAGTCCCATGATTCAGGGGGGCAGTGTCAAAGATCAAGCGCATAATACCTCATCTACTCAGACAGACCAAAACATGCTTCACCACACTACATGATGCTGGCCGCGCAGGGCGTTTCAAGCTTTTGCTTGCAGGGTGTCCACATTAGACCATCCATGCAACTGGAAGAGTTGCACAGATTAAACAGTACCTTTACCACATGTATATAAGTGACCCATCCATGTGAGTCACTCTTCCAGTCCACCCCTCCATATAGCTGCGCTATATATAATTCCTTAGTCCCATTCGGTCTGGTCTCCACCGTCGACGGCCGTCGCCAAAAGCACCCGATCGCTCTCCGAGACACGTTCACGAAGATCCAGACCTCGCTGGACTCGTCCGCCGGGAGGCCGTAGCTGCGCGGGTAGAGCACCGGTGAGAAGAACCGATGGGGACCGGTGGAGATCGAAAAGCGGTGGGGGTTCCTGGGGAAAGGTGGGCCAAAACGTACGAAAATCCTGCGGAAATGGAGCAATGCCGGCCGGGCAAAAATGTGCTGAACTTGCAGAACTTTGAAACGTTGTGTGAGCTTGTAGACAAACAAACACTCCCACCAAAAGATTCGTGGTTCCACCGCGACATCTACAACAGCTTTGGACCGGCGTTCGACGTGCGACGATGACTCGATCACGACCAGTCGTTAAGTCCGGTCGATCGGTCGCTGAGTCCGGTGAGGATCTTCCGGTGGGGATACCGTGAGGGTCCCAAGGGTCCCACTGGTCACCGCGAGGGAGGCCTGTGCGCTTTGGCTGCATCAGGCCAGGTGACGTCGAAGGGCAGCTTCTGGCGAGATCGGTCGCTGGCAGTCGTGGAGGCTTGACGATTGGACCAGGCGAATGGGACTGGAATAGATACAAGGATGGGTTATTTGGATGGGGAAAGTGTATGTGACAATTCTATATATGGATGGTCTGGTACGGAAGTATTCCAAAAGGTTGAGAGGACATGACTTATCGTCTTCCGTGTTTTTTGCAGGGGTTGGATGTTTGTTTGTGAATATGTATGTGTCTCTCAAACAAAACAGCTATGTTGTTGCACTTGATCTGTGGAAGATGCGCCGTGTGGCACTCCGGTGGCTTTGTGCCTGTGTCTTGGTGCCCCGGGTCCGCTCCGGTGGCTTTGTGGCTGTGTTTTGGTGCCTTGGGTCCACTCAGGTGGCTTTGCACCTATGTCTTGGTGCCTTGGGTCCGCTTCGGCGGCTGTCTTCGCGCGCGCCGCTCTGGTGGCTTTGTGCCTGTGTGCTGGTGCCAATTGGGTCCGCTCCGGCGGCTTTTGGCCTGTGTCTTGGGTGCGGAGACACCTCGAGGGCTTTTGGCATCCTTGTTGCACCTTCGTTCTTTTTGGGGGGAGATTCGGCCTTCCGTCCATCCCCGGCCGATTGACTGACTATGGGAACGACTGGAAAGGGTGCACTGATGGTGGGAAGGGGTGCTGGCATTTTCATGTATTTTCTATCACATTCCCCGGCATTCTTAGAAAACCCCTCCACTACCATAAGGTCCCACTCAGCCCTGTAATGGAAAACTGTTTTTTAGGAGCTTGCTGCCCACTTCCATGATTTCTTCACGGAGTGTACTCCCTTTGGATCCATGCCAGGCGCAAAGACAGGCACAAAGCCGCCGGAGCGGAACGAAGAGAAAGCCGCCGGAGCAGACCCAAGGCACCAAGACACAGGTGCAAAGCCACCTGAGTGGACCCAATGCCCAAGACACAGGCACGATGCCACCGGAGTGGAACCAAGGCCGAGACACAGGTGCAAAGCCGCCGGAACCACTTTTGGCTGGGAATTGGGGAGTCCTGCAATGCTCAAAGGAGAGCCCTCAACTGCAACCCACAGTCCCGGAATGAACATCGATGATTGGGTCAGCCGAGAAAAATATAGCGGCCACGAATCTCCGGCAGGATCAAAACGCACATCTTCAGCGTCGTCGCTTTGCCAGCCACTCACAGATGTCGCAAAATGGCACTGCCTTGAAAGCAACGCCATTCTGCTTCAAGAGGTGCTCCAAGCTGCCCACGGCACCGCACAGCAATGCCAGCTTCAATGGCTGACTCAATGCAGGAGGCTCACCAAATGCACCGCACCAATCATTGGCTGGAAAACGGAGTGGGTCCACCAGTGAACCAGGAGCAAGTGTTGCTGTCTTCTTCACATGCTGCTTGTTGGAAGTCTGCACATGCTGGTGTGTGCTTGTGTGGTGCAGAGTCCAAACAGTGCTTCTCACATGTTTTTCTCTGTGTGTGGCTCAGATCACCTTTGGTGAACTTGAGGCTGGACATGAGGAATAGGCATGGCATATTATGAAAGAACATCTGACGCTATTTGCATCTTTTCACACCATCCTTTCAACAACAACAAGGTTCAACTACTAAAACCTGATAGTGAGTTTTATGAAGTTTCCATCTACAAACAGGTGTTGTTGCACTTCCATGTTATATAAATACGCGGAGAGTACCACCCAAAGTGGCTTTGAGCACTTCGCTTTATGTACAGCAAAGCCAGCTACCGGGTCCAATCCTCTCCAAACAATTCCAGTTCTTCCGGACCACCAACCACCGATCTTTTGTTGCCAGGAAAACAATTAGACAATACACACATGGATAACATACTATCCTCAGGAATGTTCGGGATCCTTAACTTAGATTCTCTGTGGCTGTGGGCATTGAACGGCATCCCTGTTCTAGGCAATCTCCAGGGAAAGTGACAACAAGGCAATCCGGTTGCATCAGAAGAGACGTTCCAAAGCAAATAAAACATGTTGTAAAAACTTACTATATAAGCACAAAATACCCCACAACCACACAGTCGGCCTGAGTAGTGAATATACCATGATATGAATACTAAGTACTCATATATATATATACACACATATATATATATATGACACTCTTTATTCTGGAATGTTCACCGTTTTGCTTTTGACCGGAGTTCTGGTTCCCACCTTGCCTTGAGACCAGTCGTCCCAAACGCTCCACCCCAAGACGCATCGACCAAGCGAGCCGTGCAGGGCAAAGCCATAGGGGCAATCTTGATGCCTGAGCTGACCGGCATCGGCCTCTGGTCTAAGACTCTTCACCGATTCACGCACAGGAAAGGTGTTTATTCTTCTTTGGGTGGTTCCGTGGAAACTGCGTATTGGGTGGTTTCAACGAAACCGGTTTCGACCAAAATCGGAGTCAAAGGGATGAATCATCTCACATAAATGTTGAACATAAACATAAACATATCTGAAACCACCACCCAAACAATGATGGCCGGCCCCCCTGGGAAAACTAGCTTTCAACGACCCGACAGTGATAAAGCATGCCTCCATAGAACGTGAGTGGTATCTGTGCACCACGGTCTTGGACCCTTCCAAACCCGGCTTTGCATCTGTCGCACTTCCTTGGGGGCTTGAACAACAAAGAGGTGAGTCCTTCAGTCCAGAGAATGATCAGGCGATGCTAGGCAATGCATGCGACATACATGACCCTTCTTTGAGCGTCAAAAGAGGAGGTCACGGATTCAGGTGTCAAATCACCTTGGCAATTATGTATCGCTAAGGGCTTCACATAATGTATTCAGGAAGTTCTCAAGACAACTTAGTGGGCCCCGAACGAGGATGATGCAACCAGGCTAAAAGAATCATCGCCAATCCATGTTTCGGAGAACGTGCCTCCCAGAGGCAACAAGTGCGTTGGAGCCCACTCCTGGTCTTTTCACAGGTGATCAACCAAAAAGCGGATCACCTTGAGGCCTAGTGGCTGTCGGTCGAGAGCCGACTCGTGCGTCCAAGCAACTCCTGCTGCCAAAGATGCTGACACCCCATGCTTTCCTGGCAAAAGTCGGAGGCTGAACAGACTGCGGTGTTCCAAAGCACGGTAACTACCAGAAACAACATATGTCCGTTCACAGCAGAAGAAGGGGGAAAAAATAGGAAACAAAACACCTATGGACATTCGCACAAGTCTTCGGATGCTGTAGGTCACCCAGTAGCATGGCTCTCTGCCAACGTTTTCGCACTTCCCTACAGCCTCTTCAGAGTGGGAACCTCTAGGCCTAGGCTCTGAAGCAAAGAGATCTGTTGGTCTCAGCTCCTTAGCACCTTCGCTATGAATCTCTAGGTCCTTTGAGCAGCCTCCAATCATTCCGGAATGCCTTGACCCGGTGTGAAAGAATGAATCTTTGGAGGACCTGTTTCTTTCAGTACTTGAGGGAAGGAGGTACTTTGAAGCAGGGATCGCTGCCCTATGACTATGATCCACGCCAATTTCAGGACCCCACTCTACGACTGCTACAGCAGAACAAGAGCTGGTTGCACTCTACCATTTCTTCGTCAGATCTTCACCGCCAGCTGACCATTGCTTCCCGCCCCGGAGGACGGAACCCCCCGGCTCCGAACCCCCACCTCAACGGCCGCCGCTCATTGGTCCGGTCGGCCCGACGTCGCGTCCAAAGGCGGCGCCCGCTGGGAGCCCCAAACGAACGATTCGGGCGGATGCATGCACCGTCCATTGACACAAGGACACATGGAACGAACATGGAGGTCACACCTCCTCTTGGAAGACCATAGAGTGAAATCCGAAGACCAAACAGGTCTTCTTCACTCCACGGAACCATGTTAGTTCCAGGGAGAGTAACAACGAAGACGAAGCGACACTGATGGAAATAGTTGGGATTGTGTCCAGATGCTTGTCGGGCCAACAGGTTAAGCCATGTATCGGCACCTCAACAAGCTTGCAGTTTAAAGAGAATTATATAAAGAATTTGTCGACAACATTCATCTGGACTGAATTCGCTGGAGTATGTCGTCCACCAACTGGAGTCGTCCAACAACTGGAGATTCGACATGCCTTGGACAACTGCAACGCTTTTTCCTCGTGGCCAGGGGAACTAATCTGTGCCTGAACTTCATATTTACAAAATTCGTCCGGGGCAGCCAAGCACATCTTGCATGGCTTCTGGCCAGGCCATTCTGCATCCCAACTTGTGGTTTCAGAAACCACTTTGATATATCATAATCTACAAATATATAGCTATGACGATATGTTGTATGAGGATGACAGTGTGTCCTTGTCAAAAAAATCGAGCAGGCATTAAACAACATATATATATATATATATGAATAACTCACCGTTTCATATTGTAATAAAACATAATAAGAGCAACAATTAAGAGCTTTCTTCAGGTTGGATGGCAAGTTTGTGGCCATTGCCCCAGATTCTATAGCTGAGACCCATTCTCGGATCAGCCAAATTCATTCATTTCAAGAGATTCGAAACTCGGGGGCTCCTGTGCTGTTCCAGGAAACGGGGGATTGGAAGGAACAGGTGCCTCGGTGCCTCCACCTCCCGAGACTGGTTTTAGTTGGGAAGATCACCAGATCCTACTGACTCTTATGTTGGGTTTTCACAGAACAATTCTCAATTCTCTCAAAACAAGAAGACACCATCAAGTCTTGGAGTATCTCGGAGTCGTTTGTCAAGTTTCCCTTCAACTGGAGAGATATAGCCCTTGTGATCGTAGCCCAGACGTCTGAACTGCTCCCCTTACTCCGCTGCCTGAGCGGCCTGGTAGGTCGTCTTGTGGATGGAAAAGGCCGGATCTATGTGGTGCTGTGAGTCATGGCACCAAACCGAACGCTTAACCTACCCCGGTGTCAGTCGGTCGCTTAACCTACCATGGTGTTGGGGGGCCCCGTTGAGGGCTCCGTTGTAAATGACATCTGAAAGGGGGGGGATGTGGCACTATACAAGTGGCAATATGCATTCATTATCATTATTAACAATCTAGAACACCACCTTGGACAATACAAGAGTGACAGAACGATTCTTAAAATGATCGTTTCCATGATGCCAGACTTGCGCTGAACTTCACCCCGGCTCCTCAAAGGTATCCGTTCACCTTCTCCTCAGCAAAGAAAGGGATGATAGCTAGGGAGACTAGTCAGACTTCATTCATTTCCAAAGCTGTCATCGGCACAGGCAGTCATGTTACGGCAAAACGAGTTACACAACTGGTGTACTGGCTCAAAAGCTCTAGACTCTTCGGACTCTTCTATGTGTCTTCGGCGCGCACGGCAAGGAAGAGCTGCCCTGATCGAAGCCTAAACAAAAATACCCAAACATAAGGAAGGTATATAGCGAAAATGTCAAACACATATGGAACAGTTAATGCATTTATATACCCCATTTACAACCCTCATGTAGGTAACTATTATTGACATGTATTGACTATCTCATAGATGGAGTGTCTGGGATAGATACAATCCAGTATACACACCGATGGGAGCTTGCCATTTCCCGTTCACCTGGATGATGCCTTTTTTAAAACCCGGTGTCCATGTTTAGTCTGCCGGGTTGGCAACACCCGGTCAGACTCCGGACTGGCCTATTGAGCTAGGGGGGTGGTTGATTGACGGTTCAGTCCATTGATCCGATCCACCAGACTACTCACCTATGGCTGCAGGTTTGGCATTTCATGGGGGCGTATGTGGGTGGATTTCGCTGGTTTTCGTTGTGTTCCTCTGGTCGTGCCTGGGACGTGTTTCACCACCTCCACAAGCACTGCAGACCGGTGGAGGAGTCACCGAAAACACGACGCTGCGACCGATCCCACCCCTTAGTCCACGCAACCCCGAAGCAGGCTGGGTCCCACGAAGCACCTCCTTCCCACTTCCCGCAACAAAACACCACCGTTTGTCGAAACCAACATGCTTTTCCTTGGGACTTGCCGCACGGGTCGTGCAAGACCTGTTGACTTTGGGGGGGCGTCGTTCTCCCCAACCTCCCCACGACCTCCCAGCCGCACGCAGGACCGCACGCAGCCGAACCGGAGCAGGACAGCACACCCGAGGGCCCGGCGGCTGCGAAGTTGTAGGCCTGACATGTCAAACGGCAGGAGCCGTTGCAGCATTACCATTACCATTGCCATTACCCAGGAGCATTACCATTACCATTACCAGCTGATTATTAGGTGATGTCAAGGAGCATTACCAATACCCAAACACTCCATGGGAGTGTGGCATATAACCCCTGTGGGAGGGGGTGGACGAAAGGTAGGTCACTAAGTTCAACTTTGTGGCATTATATGCCTATATACATTATACGTTCACCCCCCCCTCAGGTCAACCACTGCCTCCAAACTGATCAGTCAATTTATATGGCAGTCCCAAACAGGTCGTGTCGTTTTTCTTTCTTTTAAGCAGAAATTCGTGTATTCGATGCCGGGGAAGTTGTAAGAAAAAACAGCAGTCCTTCAAGACTTATAGAAACTGCTCGGAGTTCTTCCTAAACAACCTGGACGACAGAACGCATCAAATGTTGCTCTGCAACAAACCAATGCCAGGCAAGCGGAAATAACCGTTGCTCTTTGCCGACTTTGCTTCAAACAATGTCACAAACCTAAAGGGAATCCAAAAGTACAGTTTTCAAAGCGATGGTGAGATGACCCCCTGTCAGTTTAAAGCTACTTTCCCTGTGGCTTGCAGGTATCTAAAAGTTCGACAGTCCACAGGTCTAGTCCAACGACCCAAACCGATCGACGGCAGAATCCCTGCGGCTGCCGCACCTTGAGGGCGTACCTCAGCTTGTGCGGCCGAAGAATCCGTGTGGCAATTCGTTGGATGTTTGGGGGATCAGTTGCATCCGACCTATTTAACATGTCAGTTTCACTGGAAACATTGGCCGTGAGGCTATAAGACTATGAGACTTCTTGGGGACGACAAAAACATCCCGCCGGGCTGACATCGCGTTTCGAAGGTCGTCAATCTTGAACTGTGGGTTCTCAGCCCGCTGGCAAAAACATGACAAAACTCTGCTCTTTTTTGGAGGGCGGTCTCAAACACATCACATTCACTGCCTGCACCCTGCATCCCCCAGTGCAACCAACGTCCGGGACTCCACACCCGCCGGCTTTCACACCCGCCGCGCCCACATCCTCAATGCTGCTGGTGTACCTCGTCATGAATCCAACGCAACTTCTGTGGCACATGGGCATGGGAGGACCGACCGGATTTCGTAGTGAAACGGTGGGGTGCCGGCCATCCTACTTAGGAGAACGGATTCATGAAAAGCTGGTTTGTCAATGGCAAAGCGCCACCAATTGAGGCGAGATGTTTCTTGATTGAAGAACATGTACACTTATAATAGGTCCAATCTTGCAAGTGGAAACAAGCACAATACACTAATAATTGAAAGACATCAAGGGTGTGAGGTCTTCCAGCTGTAGCATGTGATCCAGGTTGATCTGATGCTTGTCTCAGGCGTTCGTCGTTCAGGAAGCGGCGTGAAAGGTGAACTGGCGACGCATGCGACGCAGTGGTCGCGTTTTTGTCGCCGGGCGCACGGCTTCAGGGTCTCGTTCCTCGGCTTCAGGGTTCACGTCTGGAGTCTTTGGGCATTTCATCACCTATTCTCAGCCTGATCTGATCCTATTTATGATCCTATATGTAAAGTTCCTGGTATGAGAGACACACTAGTACAAAGCATCCCCGGCAGCATCTAGGCCTGGCCCATCTTGAGAGGACAAGTCTTTGGTACACATGCAGGTGAGTCTGGGGTTCTGGTCCCATCAACCACAATGGGTATGTCGCACATCAACTTGACACAACGCCCCACTCGCATGCCCTTGGAAATAGGGACAAATAACATAAAATATCAAGTATCAATTGGCTATCTAAAAGCTCCCCCTTGGTGCTCAACAAATAAGTGCCTGTCTTCACTCACCTCCCCTCGATCTCCCCCTGCAGCTGCAGCTGCCCAAACCCCCCGTCTTCATCCAAGCGGCTTCTTGGCAAAGCCAACAATGCCACCAAAGGAGAGGCCATATCCTGCGATGGAGACGATTCGGCCAGATCGGGTGAGCCCATTCGGAATACATCTCTCCCAAGATCGCTCTAGGTTTAAACCCCCCTGGTACGTTGACCTCCCAGGTCGTCCATTCTGTTCATCTTCCAGGTTGGCTCTGTCCGGGTTCCCCGATGCCATTGGGTCATGGCAGCCATATGGCATTGCTTTTGTCCTGGCATGGTCGCCCATGTTCCTTCCAGATTCTTTGACTCAAAAGTGTCATAATCATCTAGTAACTAAAGATGGTGTCCGTCCGCACGATTACTTACCACCGACTCCATACATCTTCACCATATTTAAAAAAAAACACACACACAATAAAATCTGCTCCCACTTCCATGGATCTTCCCACCGAGTCTTCTACCGCTTCATCCAATGACCCGAGCGGAATCCGGGTTGACCGAGATTTTCAGACATCGTTCTCGTTTGTGGGCGCATTCGTAAAGCTCAGCGCGCCTAGGGCAGCCAACAAGATCCCGAGGTTGAAGCCTGGCTTTTGCGGAGCGGCTCGTCGCTCTGTTCCAAGCAGCGCCGGGATGGGGACAAGCAGCAGTGGCCCACGATGTTTGGGAACAAAAAGATAGATCAAGAGTGACTGGTGTTGCTGGTGCTACAAGCAAAAGATCTAATTACACAGGTACAGTATAAATTGCTATACATATGACTACTATATAAATATATATATATATATTAGTTAGTTATAGGAGCTTTCAATCGCTATCAAGGTCTAAGTCAAGACTTTCCATCAGACATGCCCCACACAAAAGGAGCCTCTAGTGAAAGCCATCCGTTCCCATGCGATGATCTGTCTGAGGCCCTTCGACGCACAGAACTGGACCAAAACGAGGATCGATCTCCGAGCATAAAGAGGAGGTTTAGTCATCTCCACTTCCACGTGGGGGCCGGAGGTGGAGAAAGCAATACTTCCAGCAATGGAAGTTCCGGACGGTCTCTAAGCTAATAGGCTTCCAACCTCTTCCAGCCATTGATTGAGCTGTCAAAACCAGGCCAACCCTTTTTTCATGTCGTTTAATGCCCTTGGAAGGCTAGTTATCGCCACTCTAAAGCCGGAACCAACGACAGTCTCCACCTCCCAAGAGCGGGAAGAGCAAGCCCAAGACGAAGTAGAAGACAATGGAGGCGCTCCTGAACATGTCTTTCGCAACTGGGTGCCATGCCGCATCCAAGGTCCACACACCATCGTTCAAAAATGCCGCAATTGGAAGTGGAAGCCTTCCAAGTCATACCGTGTTCGGTATTGTAACTGCCTATGTCTGCTTACTGTTTCTTTCTGGGAGCAGGTTGCGTTCGTTTGCTCACATCACATATATAATCGTTAGCTCGGAGAAAGCTTCCAACACACGGAGGATAAACGCCTTAATGCCTTTCATGATCTCCCCAGCAGGCCGTTCTTTTGACCTGGAGACAAACTGCTTGCCTCACCTGATCACTCCTGTTCGTCGACTGCATTTCGTGGTGGGTACATGTAAAACCTGTCTCCAAAAGCCAATGACCCACCTCTCTTTTCCTCTTCTGCTTGCCATAGGCATTCGCCCGCGGCCAGGCAATGACCCCCCCCACCAAACGACTGCAATAACCAAAAGACGCCCGAACCGTCGCCCGCGCACCGTCGCGAATCCCCGCGGGCGACGGCAGCGTCTCTTGGAGTTCTCTTCAGTGTCTTCGAAGGTGGTCAGTGAGAACGAGGATTTCGAGGGTTTTCCTGTCACGGAGCTTCGTAACGTGCGAGAGCACCTTCGTCATGTGCGGGGTAACTGAGTGGGTGAAAAAGGGTCTTGATGGACCATCCAACATGGTCCTGATGGACCATGCTACGGAACTAGCAAGTTGTACAGCAAAAACACAAAAAACATGACTCTATATAGACTGTAAGTAAATTGTCTAGAACAGTATGTAACTTTGTACTTTGTCTAGAACACTATATACCGTATATATAATTGTTTACTTCCGAACATTAGGAATTCACAACAGTCGCACGCATGATGTAGTATCGTGGATGAATTTGACCTGCAAGTCTTCATCTTTTGGAACATGCTAATGACCCGATGTCTGGATCGCCTGGTCAGCTACAATTTTTCGCCCACAACAAATCCAAACAACGACATCTTCTTGGGATTAAGGATACCTGAGGCCCCAGCATGTCCACCATCTACATGTTCTGTTTGCAGACCCATTGAAAAAAAAAAACTAGAATCTAGAATAAAAATATACCAGAAACACAGATCATATACAAGATCATATACAAACCAATAATCGACTACATGCAATATAATTCCTGCAATAGCTGAAACAAAAACGATGCAACGTTTTGTTTGAACCATGCCTGTACCATGTTTCACTCCACGAACCACAGCTACACCATGTTCGGATGCAACAAAAACGGACCTGCCGGCTCAGCAAGCCGCTGCACTCGAGGGACCGATGGCGAGGACACCTGGTGAGGGACCGCGGTGCACGAAGCAATGGCCGGTTTGTAAAGCGATGTCCCCTATGCAAGGCAATAAGTATATAGACTTAAACCATGCTTGCAAGCTTGCAACAAGGGACTCTTTTCTGAATCCTTGGGAACTGTTGCAGGGGATAGGTCTAAAATGGTCTCTTCATGTCTTCAATTGATTCTAAACATGTAATTATAAGTTTAATCTGTATGTTGACCTCAGGATTTGAAGATGCTGTTGTTTTCTGTGCGTGCCAATCCAAGGCATTCTCATGCAGCTTATGAACTCCCGACAGCCCCAGCTCGCCCAGCACATGTTTTTTTTCCTCGCACTCGCTGGCCGCGCTGAGCTTTAGAACGGGCAGCCTGATGTGCGAAGAACGGCAGGGCCTCGGTGGTGGCGGCATTGAGTCGGCATGGACAAGTGGGATTGGGTTTGACAGTGAAAGCCTTGAAGAAGAGGCTCACACCTCTTCTAACACTCGCAGTAATGGGCCTGATTGACCTAAAAGCCCTGACTTGTAAATGTAAGAGCGCCTCAACAATCAAATGTTCCTTGTGTCTCCACTTGTCCGGGTCTCAAAAAAAGCATCGTAGCCGTGACGTACTGAGGCATAATTGATTTGTCTCCAATTGCAGGTAGAAAGAACACTCTGTCACCAGTTGGTTGGGCAGGCTCTCATTGTGAGAACACCTCATTGAGCAACCTTGCCATGGCCATGAATGTTGTTTCTTCCTTCTCTGCCAGACCCAACCCCCCCTCTTCCGCACAAGGCAAGCCGCTATCAGCCATGTCAATCTTGGAAAAAACGACCAGGAAAGCCATAGTCATCCATAGTCAATCGAAGAGCAGGAAGACCATACAAGAGCAGGAAGATGAAGCTAGACAATGTGATTATTGGAGACCTTGCGAACGATCTTCAGGTGTTACTGTTAGATGTTCCTATCATCAAGACTTGACGATCTTCCCACGTAGCCGTGACCATATCTGTGACTGGATCTGTGGCCCAAGACGAGGGAATCTCCACAGGTGGCCAGGCCAGCCGTTGAGGACGGGACGGAGATCCGAAAGACGCCACAGCCGAACTGGCTCCGAACTGGCTTGCGTCCGTGCGAGTCATAATGCGAGTCCGTCTGTGGTAGGCGCTGTGCCAAGATTTTTTGGGCCATCAGACTCCTGGGGAGTCCATTGGCTACGGTGTATCGTAAGCCCAGCGCTGCTCGCGGGCAAACAACTCCAGTCTGTTCCACATGAAGACACCATTGGCTACAGACCCTTATAGACTTCGCAGTGATTCGCTTTGTCTCTGCAAGGTATAGATGTCCTTGGTTGAACAAGCACGTATCAATCTATACAGGAGCATTTTTTGCTCCTGGGGATGTAGGGCAGAGTAACCAATTGGCATAGTTCCCCAAACCACTGGAAAAACTTGGGAACATCGTTTACAAGCGTTTACAAACCACGCAAGTCCTTGTCTTGAACCACATCAAGAACTTTGAAAACGCTTCACGACTCGTTCCAGTTCCCAGTTCAGTCTCGGCACAAAAGCACTTTCAGGTTGTACCAAGTGATGAACAAGGGAGCTGAAATGGCACTTCCGAACTGGCCATTCGGGGGTGATTGAAATATGAAATCTCCAGGTTCATGAGGTCTCAATATGCACCGCGTAAAAAGAGAGTGCGCTGCATCACCACCCAGAACGACCCAAGCATCCGCCGTGCGGTCGGCCAGCAATTGCAGGGACCAAAGCACCGAGAGAAGCCTCACAGGGCTCTTTGGGGCTCGGCAACTCACAGTACCTGCCTGGATCCCTAGAAAAGAACACGGAAATCCCAGGCAAATGGGAAGTTTTCCTTCAGTAGAAGGGATCTACATCCAAATACCTGTGTGGTGCAGGATACTCCAAAAAAAGCCCAAAGCAGGAACATGCAGGAACCTTGGAGGGAATGCTGAGCCCATCTGCCACTCCCACCAGTGTCGGATCTGTCCATTCTGAGGTTCCGCTTCCGTCTACCTTCATAAAGAGAGGCTAGCGTACCTCTGGATGGCCAGGTTGGTTGCTAAACATCATGATAGATTAGTGGAATGCTGAAGCCGGGCATGGAAGATTCACACAACTTGCGACTGGGTTCCCCTCTAAAAATTTAGTCTTGTAGGTGGATTCCAAAGCCATGAGGTTCACAGGGTGTGACCAAGGATGTGTATATAGCATTAGCATTATATAGCTCCCACTTTGGCTCTTAGTTGAGACCCTAGACCCTGGCATTATTCTGACGTTCTCTCAGGGCAGCCAGCTTTCCTGCTCTATCCTGCAGGCAAGAAAACTAATTAACTCTCCGCAATCCATGCTACCTGGGCACGAGAAGGTGCTACCAAAAAGTTGGAAGCCGTTCCGCACCGCGCCCGGCATAGCTTGAAGCTCCTGATGGCAAGAAACTTATTTTAAAAAAATGGATTTAAAAAAACATCAATACAGTAGTGTGTTTTCAAATACCAGAGATAAGATTGAAGCAAAGCTAAGCAAATGCAAGCCAAGAAAACTGTTTGGTGGCCCTTGCCCGGAGGTGTAGTGGAAACTCGTCTTCCAAAAAGCCCAAATTCCAATTCCATGTTTGTCGTGTTGGACGGGGAAGTCTAAAAAAAAACAACTTTGAGAATACTGGCTGATAATCGTCACAAATAATGAAACATGGAAAGACTGGGTAGGAGATTGCTGTTGAACTCGCTTTGTTGCTAGTGGTCGTTCTGGCGGGTAATTCGTTGGTTCTAGATGGTTCTAGTTGGTTTACTTGCACCTTCTTCCTTTTTGGGGGAGTAGCAATGCAGCAATGTGGTGTTTCCTATGTCCCGTCACCACGGCGCCGTCGATCGAAACGCCCCTTGTGTCGACGTCGACCTTCGGACCTGGCGAAGCCCGTCGTCCGGACGACCTGGTCGATCAAGAAAGCCCTAATGCGAGTGGAAGAGAGTGTATCACCAAGCTGAGTTTCAGAGTCCAACCTGGGATTTCTGAACCTGGGATCGACACTAGAACTTCTGAACTTCTGCCGATTTCTGCCGGACAATGACTGACCTGTCTCAAAACATGTCAGGGGTAGATGATAGGGCTGATAGGGTATCAATTTGTGAGGAAACCTCCAGGCCTGCGGGCATGTCCCAAATGTGGTATCCCAGCACCTCACCCAACTCACGTCCACCCAACTGAGAGGCTATGTTCAGTCCAACATGTTGACATGTTGTAATATCTTTCTATCATCCCAAGTACCAACTCCAGGAACTGAACCAGACTGCTTTTTGGAGGAAGGGAGACGATGTGTTTATAGATAGGTGGATTCTGCTCTTCAGCTCGCCGCCGTCGCGCTAAAAAAGATAAGAAAAGGTGAAAGACATTGGTGCTGACCATCTTTAGACCATCCTTCACCTTCTCCGCCCTGCCCCACCGGTGCTGCTATGCCCCTCCCTTCGTTCCTTCGTTCCCCACACCTGGCCCCACAGTGCCGTGGCATAGGCGAAGCTGCCCAGCGCGGTGCCGCGGCCCAGCAGGACGCCCACGGCGGTGAGGCGCCACCAGCGGCGGCAGAAGGAGGGCGTCACCAAGGGGAAGCCTCAGGTGGTGAGTGATGGGTCGTCGGCTAATCCTAGCTCTAGGAATTATAATGGTCGTATAAGAGCCGTAACATATAGATTCATGTAGTTCTGGGAGGTGTTTTGGGCTGTTTAAGGAAGTACAATAGCCGACGTATATAGCTTGGGCGGTGTGCAACTCGGTGTTCCAAAAAATCGCCCCCTATAAGAGTGTTCCATGAAGAAGCAAGTATACCCTACAGGTCAAAGACCTCACTTTACTGGAGTTGGTGATACAAAAACACTACTCAATGAGGTTTTCTTGTAGGGATATATGGCTATTGGTCTTCATATGTTTGAACTCAAGAAATCGGTTCGACCTACATTCCATGTAAGCCATCAATGCAGTGTGTAACATCCTAAGTTCAATTTAGAGCCTCACCACTCAACAGTTGATGAATGATATCATATGATTTCTGTGGAAGTCATGAATGGTTTCATATGATTTCGATGGAAGTGATAAATGATGACACATGATTCTCCATTGTTATCGACCTCGACATGCCAAAGTCTGCAGAATATATTCGTCGTCATGTCGACCACAACTCCTCAGAAACACTACCAAGTGTCGAGAAAAGTACTCTTCCAGCTCCTGGAGAACCAGCAGTTCGTTTCCGTGATGAAAGGCATGTCTCTTGGGATTTGACGAAGTGACTGAACCCAGAAGTCTTGTTGGTCTTGTTGGTCACCATGTGTGCTAAATCAGCAGCAGAATCACTGTGAAGCGCGTGAAGTCCTTGAGGAGATTCTGTGAAGATCTGTGATGTTAATTGACTTTAATTCAAGTTGCATTTAATCTGATTTTATTGAAGACTGCTTGAGGGGTTTAATCTTCGCTCAGGTTGACACATCGGTATACCAACATATACCAACACATTGGTGTACACCGGCTACTTCCCAACTTCCTGTAACGAAGAGTGAGTGGCGTAAGCTGGCGACCCGTATCGTGTGGCGACCCAGAAACCGCCCTACTACCCTGGACCACCCATGCATGGAATAGTTATACCATGGATGGGTCATAACATGTTATAAATGGGGCAAATGTGTAACATAAGTGGACTTCCAGGGAGTCTTTGGATGGTCTGGACCAGCTCCAGGTCAAACTGGGAACTCTTCGGACCATCGAAGGTGCCGTCAAGCGGGAAAGGTCCTTGTGAAAGGTCACGACGAAGTCGCGAAGGTTGGTGAAGCCTGGTCATGAAAACGACGATCAAATGGGCATTGGGGTTGTTGGATTTGGGGATGCTGAATATAGTAATACTATGCAATACTTTACTCTAGACTTATGGATCGTTCGGAATTTGATTGAAGGACTTGGACCCTGGAGTTGAGAGTCTAAGGCATTTTCTGCCAGCTGCATGACCACCCGCTT